TTTCATAGCAGAATCCTCCTCGCCGTAGCCAAAGCCCATCTGGTCTGAGTGTCCTTGGTCATCCATTTCTCTCGCGTCTGCTCTACTCATCGTCAGACGGCTTTCTTCAAAGATGGCCCCTTGTCGTTATTTGTTTTCTGTCCCTTTTCTATTGCACCATTTCTCATTCTATGTGCAACCCGCGGGTGCAATCTTCCCCCAGAAGCGAGCGCAAACTACCGGATGTGTCCAAGACCCGTATGTACAGTATCTGGTTTAGTGTTGATCACATTCTTACCCGGATGCAGTTGCCTGCTCGAACTAATAGGCTCAAATCGGACTGAAGATTCCCTGGATTACTGCACATCCATTTTCAGACTGACTGCCACAACTGTGACGTCGACTTCGACAGTCCCTGATCCGACAATAACGTCTACGATTTCTCGACGAAATGTAACTATTACCACTACTACCACGATCACGATCTCGGATGCCGATGACGATTCTGGACCCTCGAACTCCACGGCCATGACGATTCTACCGCCACGATCAGTCTTTCCTACACTTGAAAATCTTCACAAACGTGCAAACTCCTCCGAGTTTGCTTCTGCCACGGAGACGGGGTTTGTTTTCCTCCCTGATGAATACCCTTGCTGCACAAACAATACCCGATTGAGCTCAGCTTGCTCATGTATTGGAGCAACAACCGCAGTTCCGGTGACAGAACATGTGACAGTTGGGCCTTTTGCTACGCAGACATTCGTAGATGTGATACCTGGCACAACCACCACTCTGACAGAAACGGTTACGGTGAAGAGCGCGTTGGCATACATTCCTCCTCCGGAGCCTCTTCTTCTGAAGCCAATCGCGCCGTTCGGCAAAGATCCTTCGAGCCTGGATCTTGTTATTCCATCCGAGCAATCAGACCTTTTCTACGCTGCACCGCCCGGCTCTGAAGATCAAGATGCGGCGACCATTGCTCGAGTATCGGTCAGTTTCGAATACCCTTCGGTGGCTCTGGATCCTCCCAACTATATCACGGATATTGTCTGCGCGGAAGACTCGATATCCATGCGCTACACCTCTGCCACTGCCTTCAAACAATCGCAAAATGAGTGGCCAGTGAAAGTTCCCCTTGTTTTGATTACAGCTGCTCCAACGTGCAGTGAGGACGGAGGCAACGCATTCTTCGTAGCGTCGTCTTTCATCTTTGACCCTATTACCAGAACAGTCATCGCTACAGGTTCAATCGAAAAACTCGATGAAATATTTTCCCAGATCGACCTAGATTGGGGAAGTGTTTCCACAGACCCTGATGCTGGTGGACCGAATGCGGATACATACGGCTGCGGTACTCCAGCAAATGGCACAGTGCCTGAATTCCCAGAAGCTCCTTGCGGCCCCCAATTTGACGGTGTGCTCGATGACGCTATAGGCTTCTACAGCGCCGACGAGAACGACGAACAAGCAGTCCTATCGCAACTCTTTCCTGGATCTGGTGGAGGTCAAGCCCGAAGATGGGGTTGGGGATGGCTGGGGGCAGTCGTCAAAGCTGTGGTCAATGTGGTGCAGCAAGTGGTAGCCGTGGTGAAGGCAGTGGTCGTCCAGATCGGGAATTTTATCCTCGATGCTGTTCTGGGATTTATCAGTATCCTCAGGGGAGACTATGAGAAGAGTATCGACATCCCAATTGACATCCGTCCTCCGTTCCAGGTGGACACTCCTTGGGGCAAAGGATCTTTGATATGGGCAACCAATACAGAGGATGAGAAAAAGGGTACGGCGAAAGGTGTGGCCTTTTGGTGTGTTGGCTGCGCGGCTGTAGGACACTTCAGGGCTACGGGCGCCTTGACCGTTACTCCTTGGGAAGGAATATCGAAAGCGGAACTCGTGCTGAACGGGAACATGTTGCTGAGTCTCAATCTTGGCATCCAGATGTTTGCACAGATTGAGAAAAAGAAGGAGCTGAAGCTTCTCGAAGTTGGCGTCCCCGGACTATCTATCCCAGGAATTCTTACCATCGGTCCTATGGCGTCTTTCGGGGTATCTGCTGGTGTCACCGCAAAAGCTGAAGGGAAGGTACTCGTTGGGGGCGTTATGAGATGGCCTAATATTTACGCCAAATTGGACGTAATCAACGGACAATCAAGTTCGTACGGTCTCTCGCCAATAATCAAGCGGAATTTTAAGGCGTCTGGGAAAGTGAGCGTTGAGGCCGCCATCGGTCTTCCCCTTACCCTCTCCGTAGGAGTGAGTATTTTTAATGGGAAATGGTATAAAGGGGCGGGTTTCACGCTCGAGCCAGCTCTTTCCGCCGAAGTAGGCATCTCACCATCTGCTGCATTGACCTTGGGACCACACGACCCCAAGGTAGAAGCAGGATTCGGCGACGACTGCTATGGAATAGCCTGGAAAGTTGGTCCAAAGTACGAGCTCAAAGTTGACATCTTTGGCCTGAAAGATTTCGTTCTAGCTGAGGATCAGTTGCTTTTGGCGGACGGTTGTGTTGGTTGGAAAGTGGAGGTTCCCGAAAGCTGCCCTGAAGTTCCACCCGGTACAGTGACAACTCCACAAGAACCAAAGATATGCACCGAAAGACCAGAAGAAGTCGCCCGGATCTGCTCGCCAAGAAGGAACTCGGTATGTGGAGTCCAATATGCAGACAACATCAACTCGTCGAACTTCATCGGAAATGCTATAGATGCCGATACCGCAGCAGACTGCGCTCTGTACTGCATCAAGAACGATGCTTGCGCGAGCTTCGGATTCTTACTCGACAAGGACGCCAAAGCACGTTGCATTCTCTACCGCCTGGGTGTCACGGAGATGGGCTATCATCAAAAACCGGTAGCCAGCCAGACTATGTACGAAAGAGTCTGTTGGGAGATCTCTGACTGCCAGCCCAAGGCTCCTGCTACCTGCACTAATACTTATGGGGATGGACAAGCCTACGACTGCGCACCAAATCCCTATTGTGCATTCGAGGGTGCCACGACTATGGACTCGGCTGGCAACACATGGGTCCAGCGTTGCAATCTGGATATGGGAATCGAGAGCGGATTACTTACGGAGTCTGTGTCGGCAACAGATCCGGCAGATTGCATGCAGCAAGCTGCTATAAGAGGATGGCAAGGAATAACAATGAAGATGGCTTTCTTCGGCATACAATGCTACGGAACACCAAATCCGAAAGACTTTCCCTCAGTGTTCATGCCTCCGAACATGCCAGATTGCAATGGTGGGTTCGGTTTCGGTTTCGGGGATTGGAACAACATTTTTTGCTGGTTTAGCCGCTCATGGTTCTCGACGTGGGTTCGGGCGGGCCAGGACCCAGGCAACTTTATCGATGAGCTGGATCCCACTCGCAGGTCCAACACCAGCCGTCTCCTCTCCATCTCTCCCCGGCAAGAAGAAGGAGAAGATGAAGGCATGCCCGACTCCGAACTCGACGACTCCCTCGACCTGAGTCTCAGCACCGACGATGCAACGTCCAGCTCCCCCTTCAAGGATCCAAGCATCTTCACACCCACCCACATCCACTCTCTCGACGGCAGCTTGGCCCTCTCAGCCACGGATTCCGGAAACCTCTACCTCTCTTTCCTAAATGATACTATATCCGCTACCCCCAACGCCACTTTCGCCTTCGACCCGGCCTCTAACCTCATCCTCGGCGACACATCCGCGCGACTGCTTCACTACTTCCCCGCCACTAAAGCCAAGTTCGGCGTCTCCCGCATCCGTCTGGCGGAATGGGGACGTATCCCACTCGGCGCGCGGCTGATATCTCTCGCGCCGTTCGAAGGCGACGATGGGAGGACTTTTTTGCAAGCTGTAGATCCTTCAGGCGACTTTGCGTTCCTGGCCGTTTGTGGCATGTTGGGGCAGAAAAACAAGGTGTTTTTGGTCAGCGATTTGAGGTATGCGCAGGAGTTGTTGGAGAGGGCTGAGGTTAGGTTTACGGTTACGGGCGGTGTGGTTAAGGAGTGCTCGGCGCTTGTTGTGGCGGCCGTTGCTGGGGGTGCTGGGACTGTGGTTGTAGGGGGTGAAGGAGGGCAGAGACGTGGTGAGAAGCGGTCGCTGGCTGCTGGGGGGTTTGGCGTGTCATTTTGAGATTGCAGTTTGGAGAGATACCTCCTTTTTCCGGAAAAAACGATCAGAGGAACTCGTGATGGAAGCGTTCCAGGAGCAAATGTCACCTTCTAATAAAACTTGCGCCAGGCACTGATATCAAAATTTAAGGCCGGAAACGTGCCAACAAGCCTCGCGAAGAGGAAACACAGATAGGAGCGGAGGTGGTAAGGATACCATCACAGCAAGATGAGTCGGAGGTCCAGAAGGAGTTGGCAGGTTTTTACGCGTATAGGACTGAGACCCTCTCGTCCTCATAAGGCTTTTTACTGCTGTGTAACTACTAGAACGGATTTGCAGTGTTCATAGACTCGAAAGGGAACCAGACAGCACTATAAATTGAATTATTATTATTATTATGATATCAAAATTTATAGTTACCAGGTAGCAAGTAGAAAGGTCATGCCAGAAGCACCTCCAGCAGCGAAGGTTACCGTATCGTAACCAACCAAAGCAGAATTAGGGTTTTCGTGATACGCTCTCCTCAAATATCATGCGTACCCTCAAACATACTGACTCTAAGCAAGATGATCTTCGTCCTGACGATGGCAAGTCTCTAATGTAGAGTCAATTCGCAAGCCAAGCCGGGAGTAGGCATAACCACAAACTTCAAAAAGTGCCATTAAAATTGCTTCCCTCTAGCCACTTGCTCCTCTCTTCCCTCCGCTGCCTTTTACTCCACGTCGAGACCCTCTCCAAAGGCGACTGAAGATCCGAAGCCGTTGTCCCATCCCCTTCCCGGTCTAAAGTTATCCTTTGCCGTTTTCAACTGCCCCCTTCTTGCTTAACCGTACCCCGCACCTACCCAATCAAGCCCCTCACCGCCCCACATTCAATCACGCAAATATAACATCGTTAGACCATCCTTATCGATAATTCGCTGGATCCAAGGAGCCTCCTTGGCGCAGTGGTAACGCGTCGCACTTGTACTGCAAGCAACAAGACTATGCGAAGATCACAGGTTCAATTCCTGTAGGTGGCAAGACCTATTACACATTCCACTGGCGAGTTCTTTTTTTTCTTTTTCTAGTGTCCTTTTATAAATTTTTCTGGGGATATCCTTAGGGAGGCGGGGATAGTAGTTATTTTTGCTGGGGAGGTGGACTCGGAGGGGAAAGGAGACGTTGGGGAGAGAGGCGAGAGATGAAATCGAGGGTTACAACTGAAACATGGGTTTCACCTTATCACAACCTCCTCATCTTGCAAGTCGATTACACTTACGGATCACACAGCGAGTACACACTCGGTAAAGGAAGTCTAAACTACTCCGGTCGGCATGTCCGAGCTACATAACGGTAGAGCCGTATGCAGCTGTAGCAAACAAACTGGAAGCCAACAGTTCAGCAAAGATACCTAAGACTTCTCAACAACTATGCTACCACGACTACAAGGCAACTTCGAACTAGGCAACCTGCAAAGCCACAACCAAGACTATATCCACATTTGTACTTTTCAAAGTGATAAAGACTGAATATCGAAACCTCAGAGTCTGAATGACACCTGCACGGCTGTCCGTTAAGTGTGTATCATATCCAAGGACCCAGACCCAGCCCCGGAAAATACCCAGTCCCGAAAAGAGAGATGTCAGATCCAGATATTGTCCGTGTCATGCACACTTTGCATGACTGAGATTGAACCTATCCGTCGATAAAGGAGAATTCATGTGTCTCTTGTTCAAATGGCAATCGTAATCGCAAGAAATGTGTCTTGGGAGAAGAAGGAAATGAAAAGGGAGGGAAGAGAGGAGGATACATAATCGCACAGTACATCGCCACAGGATAAACCGCAAAAGAAGCAGGAGAAAGCCAAACCGCAAGTCCCCATCCATCCGGATATTTCCATCACACCGCAACCCCATCTTTATTTTTCTCCGCCATCTCATCCGCTTCCTTACCGAGTATCTGCACCCTCTCCTCCCAAAAACCCCTAAAACTCTCCGGGTCCTCTCCTTCCATACGTTTCAACGCCTCCCCGTCTCCCACAATATCCTTAAAGGTTTGCTCGAGGCCCTTCTTACTGACCCTATCCCTCAGCTCACTCCCACTCATCTCCTCGACCTTGTGTCTGAGTGCAGCCACATGCGCGGGTTCCGGCGGGTCGGTATCCAAGGTGCCGTGCAGCGCGTCATCACCGCGCGGCGGGAGCAAATCACGACGCACGCGCTGCCCGAGACGGTGCATGCGGCCTTCCTCATCGACGAGCGCGCGCGACGCAAGGGAGACGTCTGAGTCTTGACGAGTGGAGAAGCCGGGGCGGCGGGCTGGTGATGACTGGTGGGGATGGGAGGACTCTGAAGGTTCGGGGTGTTCGTCGTCTGAGATGCTGTTGGTGATCGAGCCGGAGATGCTGCCGGAGCGTGTCGCGGAAGTGGGTCCGGTGCTGTTGAGAGAGGCGACGGGTGAGAGACTGGCGCCATCTGCCTCTTCGTCGATCGGCATTGGATGTTGGGGGCGACATTCGGGATATTCGGCTTCGAAGCGCTGAATCATGCCATTGAGAGTCTCGTCAAGGAAAAGAAGACGTTCTGCAAGGCTGTTAGATTTGAAATTATGCGAATTATGCGGAAAAGACTTACTGAGAGCCATGTTGTTTCCAGACTTGCTTTCGCGGATCATCGCAGGTTGCAATCGAGCCCTGACCTTGCGAGCGCTGTCAAGCAAGGATATAGACATCTGCTTGGCTTGCGGAGGTGCCTTCTCATTCTGAAGAGCCTGACTTCGAGGAGTTGTGGTGCCACTGTTTGGCATGGAGTTTCGGCGAATGTCTTTGGCCTTCTCTGACAAGCAATACTGCAGGGCTCTGACGACACCTGTCCCGCCGACAATATAGTCATCATCTGGTGCGGGCTCATCATTGTCGTGGTTCTCAGGGTAGTCATCAACATGGCCAACTAGATGCAGGATAACATCTGGGACGGTGAAGGCTTTGCTGCCAGATTGAGCTTCCGTGAGGGAAGCCACAGCTTCGGCTGCTTCAGGGGCATCCTCAGCAGTAAAATGTTCCATGTTTCGCAAACAGTATGCAACCACTTGTTTCGCCAAAGCCTTCACAATCTCATTGCTGTCCGGCTTTGGTACATCAATATCGATGCATATAATGGAATGCGAGACACGGACGGCAGCCATCAAGGAAGCATACAGAGCGCAAGCTTCCTCTTGAGCAGCTTCGTCTTTCGCAGAAGCGAGAGCCGACAACTGAGGATTCTCAAGAATGTTGAGATGCGCAAGTTGGGGGCTGTCTCCAAGGACCTCAGCAAGGCAGATGGCTTGAGCTGGCGAAAGGTCGACATCGATGAGGTGTAGCCTTTTCAGAGTTGAAAATCGAGGGAGGTATTGTCGAAGCATCGCCATGCAATTGTCCTTGGATTTGAACAGCTCATGGTTATGCGAAAGATCCAAGAACCGCATATTGGGCATGCGTGCCAGGACCGGCAGAAGAAGCTTCAGCGATTCCGGTGTCAGATTGCAATCTGCGAGACTGATACCCCACAATTGGTTCTTGACATCCAAAGCCTGTGCAAGAGGTTCCAACATGTTGCGGAGATCATTTGCACCAAGGTCGATGGCTTGCGAAACACCAGACCGGATGTACCGAAGAACATGTTCGAAACCTTCCTCGTTGAGGTGATTGCCTGCAAGACTGAGCTTGCTGACACCGCATATCTCGGCAGCGTCTACAATCTTTCGGATAACATCTGAAGACAGAGAACACTCTGCCATGCTTAGTTCCTCAAGGTTGTTCCCACCCAGGCGCTCCGAAAGAGATTTCGAAAGAATATCTGCAGCGTCTGGTGGACCGGACTTCGCATCCAGCTCTCCGTTACTGGAATTGTTCGATTGAGTGTTGATGAGGCCAGTACGAGGAAAATGTATCATAGATACATCGAGGTACTTCAGCGACCTGCACATGTAGATGAACAAACTGATGTGTTGCCAGCCCTCACGTGTGATCCGTGGATTGTTCTTCAGAACCAATTTCTGCACGATACCGGAACGCTCTTCAATCTTGAACTCTCCGCTGTCAGCAGGACGTGTGCGTCGGCTGGTGTAATCAAGGGGCCTTGCAGCGAGCAAACCAGCCAGCACAACACGGACAGCCTCATTGGTCATGTCGGCATCCTCGAGGAGCAACTTTTTCACAGGGACGATAGCCAGCCAGTCACTGAGCGTGACAAAGTCTGGCAGTTGAAGTCGGGATCCTGTCAGGTCCAAGCACGTGACAACACCAGGAAACGCAATGGCACATGAGGATGGACGAGCAAGCTGTTCCGTTATCCTCTTCAGAATAGGGGTCTCCCTCAATTGACAGCATCTTCGGTATATTCTCAGGGGATCCGTAGTAGGTCGATCCTGGGGTCTTGGCGTGTTCGTCCCAGAAGAAGTCTCATCTTGATCTCTTGTGTACTCCAGCGGCATCTGTCCATTCTCTTGGGCCTTTCTTCGTTTCTTCTCTTTTCGCTCTCTTTTTTCGTCCTCGGTCCGCTTCTTTTTATCCTTCTTCTTCGAGTCCTTCTTGTCTTCCCCGACAATGGTGCCCTCTGGGTTCGGTGCAGCGTCAGTGCCAACTACCTCTTGACTAGTCTGCACAACTCCACTCTTCTCCTTCTCTTCAGCAACTGTTTGCGGGTTCTTCAGTGCTTCACCCTCACCTCGTTCCTTCAATTTCTGGCTCTTTCCTTTTTGTTGCCTTTTCTCGGCATCATCAGCCTCGTCATTGTACCTGGGCCCGCCGGCGATCTCCACATCCACGCAAAAGGCAACGCGTCGGAGCTTTGATTGATCGAGTTCGGGTACGAGACATCGGTCTCGGTTACGGTCAACGTTCAGTACTCTCCGCGGGCAAAGGGCACCATTGGGGACAGTCTTGGTGCCGGTAGTCTGACCAGAGGAGAACTTCCGGGAAATTGAAGACAGAAATCCTGGATTTGATCCCTTGGGAGCTTGAGGGACATATGGCTTTCCAGACACTTCCTTTACCTCGTTGGCAGTTGAAGGTGGCGGGGTGGCAACAGGAATGGAAGTCTCAGGTACATGCGCGCCGTTGACAGCCGGTGTACCGTTTGGTTGCGGTTGTCCGGAGCCGAACTTGGAACTGAGGGAACTGATCCATGAACCCCTTCGCGAGCCAGGAGCTTTCTGTGAGTCTGGTGTCGCCGGTACGAGCGATCCGGTCTTTTCCGAGCTCTTTCTTCCCAGCAACGGCGGGCGACGAGCGGCAACATTGGATAGAGATGTCGCAGCTGCTGTGGGCGTCGCTGGCGGAGTATCTACGTCGGCGGATGGTGGAGGCTCTTTCGGGGGTGGAGTGGCCATTCCACGATGGGGGAGGCCTCCATGAGAGGAAGTGGGTGGCGCAATATCCCGCGATAGTCCTGGGGAAGATGGCGCACGTCTGTAATGAGGATGTTCTGGGGGAATTGTCAGTTGGAGTTCACCATGTCGGTTGCAGCGACCCTGGTGCGCGCCATCATCATCCCCACACTTCGCGGTTGGCTCACCTTTATTGGAGTGGTGCAACCAGCTCACGTCGACGCCGTGGACGTTCTCCATGACAGATGGAGACGGGGACTGGGATAGGGAATGGTAGGTATATGGTGCTATAGCAATGATGAGGCCATGGAGGGGTTTATGAGAGAAGGCGACAATCTGTGGCTGGTATCCGCAGCGATAGGCGTTGCAGTGTCAGCGGCTCCTTGCCAGCTGCTTACTGTATATCACGAGACGGGGGTGGGCGGAGGGAGGGGAAGCGGAGGGGAAGCGGATAGGTTGGCACGATGTTCCTAGTGCGCAGTCTGGACCTGGAAAAGCAACGCTGACAGTGGCAGAGAATGGTACCGCTGGAGGTGGAATGGAAGGGGGAAGAACGGAGAGAAAGGGTCGAAAATGGGTAATGGTCGGGTCACAGTGCTGTAGGATGGGAGAAGTGGAAGTGGATGATACTGCAGCAGAAATTGGAGGTTGCGGAAGAAGGATTCCTCCAGCT